CTGATGAGAAAGCTGATTAATGTTTTTTTTTTTTTGATTGGCTAGCTAATTAATGCTGGTTCTGTTTGGCTAGCTGATAAATTATTTTATCTGATTGGCTAGCTGATTAATGTTTTTTCTGATGAGCTAGCTGTTTAATGCTCTCTCCGATTGGCTAGCTAATAAATTCTTTGTTCTGATTGGCTAGCTGATTAATGCTGGTTCTGTTTGGCTAGCTAATTGCTGGCAATGATTGGCTAGCTGATTAATAATTTTTCTGATGAGCTAGCTGATTAATGTTTTTTTTTTGATTGGCTAGCTAATTAATGCTGGTTCTGTTTGGCTAGCTTATTGCTGGCACTGATTGGCTAGCTAATTAATGCTTTTTCTGATGAGCTAGCTGATTAATGCTCGCTCTGATTGTCTAACTGATTAATTCTTTTTTCTGATTGGCTACCTGATTAATGCTTTTTCTCATGAGCTGGCTGATTAATGTTCGCTCTGATTGGTAGCTGATTAATTCTTTTTTCTGACTGGCTAGCTGATTAAGGCTCCCTCTGATTGGCTAGCTGATTAATGTTGGATCTGATTGAGTAGCTGATTAATGCTGGCTCTGATTGGCTAGCTAATTAATGCTGGCTCTGATTGGCTATCCGATTCATGCTGGCTCTGATTGGCTATCCCAGGGGTGTCAAACTCCAGTCCTCAAGGGCCGCTGTCCTGCAGTGTTTAGATGTGCCACAGGTAAAAAACAGTGGAATGAAATGGCTTAATTACCTCCTCCCTGTGTAGATCAGTTCTCCTGAGCCTTGCTAATGACCTAATTATTCTTTTCAGGTGTGGTGCAGCAGAGGCACATCTAGAAGTTGCAGGACAGCGGCCCTTGAGGACTGGAGTTTGACACCCCTGGGCTATCCGATTCATGCTGGTTCTGATTAGCTAGCCAATTAATGCTGGCTCTGATTTGCTAGCTGATTAATTCTAGCTCTGATTGGCTGTCTGATTAATGCTGGCTCTGATTGGCTATCCGATTCATGCTGGCTCTGACTGGCTATCCGATTCATGCTGGTTCTGATTAGCTAGCCAATTAATGCTCTCTCTGATTGGCTAGCTGATTCATGGTGGCTGATTTGCTAGCTGATTAATGCTGGTTCTGTTTGGCTAGCTTATTGCTGGGACTGATTGGCTATCTGATCGACGCTGGCTCCTATTGGCTAGCTGATCGATGAAAAGGTCCAGAGAGCAGAGAGACGCTGCTGGTTCTGGTTCTGGTTAAAGGTCCAGAGAGCAGAGAGACGCTGCTGGTTCTGGTTTATAACTTCGCTGCATTTGATCTGAACTGATGACTAGAGGAACCGTTGACCTCTGACCCCCTGGACAGGTCACATGATCACTAACAGCATTCTGGGTCAGGAACATTCAGAGACTCACCTGGCAGGAAATAACCTTCAAAATGATATAAAAGACCCGCACAGACGATGAGAACCAGAACCAGCAGAACCAGCAGAGCTGTGGCCCAGGATGGAAACGGTTCTGTGGAAAAACAGAGAAACATTGACCTCACTCTGACCTTTGACCTTTATCAGCAGCTCTGACCTGATGCTCTGACCTTTCTTTACATGTTTCAGAACCACAGTGTGTCTCAGAACGTCCTGGTCTCTGTGGACGGTGCAGACGTAGCGTCCACCGTCTCCGTCTCTGGGGTTCCTCAGGGTCAGGCTGACGTCTCCGGTCCTCAGGAAGTCTTTGCTCATTTCTGTTCGGTCGCGGTAAAAACCGTCCTGGTTTCTTTG